AAAACTATGGTTAGGCCAGTCCTGCAGCCTGTTTGAGGAGACCCTGAGTAAAGACTGCTTTGCTTTCCCCAAGACTATGCTACAGTGGATGCAACTTGTGCAGTGTTGCATCAAAGCCTAAAGGCATTCGGGGGAAGGAAGATGGCAGCTCTTGCAGAAATGCACACAGTAACCATACTGCACAATTTGTACCACTTTAACTGCCATGGCTCCCACTTATGGAACCTGGGATTTGGAGTTTGGTAAGGTTCTTAGGAGTGCCTAGTGCAGGGGTCTTCAAACTAAGGCCCAGGGGCCAAATACGGCCCTCCAAGGTCATTTACCCGGCCTCGCTCAGGGTCAACCTAAGTCTGAAAGCACACAACAACAACAACAATCCTATCTCATCAGCCAAAAGTGGGCCCACACTTCCCATTGAAATACTAATAAGTTTAAAATATTAAAATTGTTCTTCATTTTAATTATTGTATTATTTTAAAGTGTTTTTTGCACTACAAATAAGATATGTGCCGTGTTAATAGGAATTCATTCATGTATTTTTCAAACTATAATCCGCCCCCCCCCCCCAACAGTTTGAAGGCCTGTGACCTGGCCCTCTGTTTAAACAGTTTAAGGACCCCTGGCCTAGTGTAATCCCTTGCTTTCTGGCAGGACATTCTAAGTATCACATGAAACTACAAATCCCAGGATTCTATTGGCTGGAACCATGGCCCATGAAAATGGTATCAAACTGTTACAACTAGTGTGAATATACTCAATCTGGCACTTTGCCACTCAGAGCCAAGCACACTCTTCAAAATAGGAAGAGGAAAAGGAAGAGAAGAAGAAATACTTCTGACATTTTCCTTTGGGGAAAATGTAGGTACATTTGTCCCTTTTGTACAGTTGCAAATAGATGTCAGCAATGTTCCCGTTTAGTTGAATGTGAATCTGGGCACCTTCTTATCTTTAGCTAACAAGTCCATTAATGAAAACCTTAAAGGCCAAAAGCCAATATAACGACAAGTGGAGAAGAAAGCTATGTCAATGTTACCAGCTGAGCAATGCCAGCTTGATGGTGCCACCGCATATTCTCATGGCCAAGCATCTGCCAGGAAGATGTGGCACACTCTTGGGCACCATTTCGCTACTACTGCACTGCCAGAATGAACAAAGTGTGCAAGGGTAACAGCAAAATATTTTCCCTAAATGCACAATTGGAACTGGACAGTTCCTGGGAGCCATGAGGATGCTACTAGAGATGGCTCTCTGGAATTATGGATTCTGCAACCCTTGATTCAACCACCTATAGAATCTATATCAGTATATGCTATGGATGAGTGAATGTATGTATATATGTATATGTATAGATAGACATATACTATATAACATTATGTAACAAATTTAAAAACTTTTCTGTTTCCTGGTTTGAAAGTGTTATTCCTGTTTAATTGTGTGGTACTTACTTCAAAAGTAGTTCTTTTAGTCCAGAAACATTGCTTTTGTGGCTGTCACAAACTATAAGGAATTGGTTGATACTCTGGCCTCTTCCACACAGCTGTATAAAATCCACATAGCATTTATTCTCCTTAGGGAAGGCCTGTTTCCACAGGAAAGTTTTTACTTGGCTCCCCAAGTCTTTCTAAGAGAAGGAGTTCCAGAGCCGAGATACCACCACCAAAAAGACCATTTCTCTCTCTTGTTCCCACCAATCACACTTGGGACGATGGTGGGACTGAGAGTAGGGCCTCTCCTGATGACCTCAGGGCTCATGGAGGTTCATAGGAGGTTCATAGGAGGAGATGACATTGATAACCCAGGAGCAAAGATTGTGTTACAATAATAGTGTAATTTCACCTTTGGTTGAAAGGACCTGAAGGCAACAGTTCTGGCCCAGCTTACCTGTCTGAACGTATCCCCCCCCCCTGTGAACCATCCTGGACATTAAGATCTTCTGGGGAGGCCCTGCTCTCAATTCCACTTCCTTTGCAGGTGCGGCTGGTGGAGACGAGAGACAGGGCCTTCTCAGTGGTGGTCTCTCAGCTGTGGAATTCCCTTCCCAGTGAAATTAAATTGGCCCCTTCCCTTCTGTCCTTTGGGGAAAAAAAGTTAAAATCTGGCTATGGAACCAAGCCCTTGGAGAGTAGTATAGTGCAATAGGAAGCTATGAAGGGATTGTTATATTATTGGAATGGCTCCTGGATTATGCTTTAGGGTCTTTACGTTTTTAACAGTTTATTTATTTAATGTATTGTTATGTTATGGTTTTGATTATTATTGTGGCATGAAATAACTGCCAATTTGGAAGCTGCTCTGAATCCCCTTTGGGGTTGAGATGGAGCAGGGTAAAACACAGTAAATGTATACACATAAAGTGAAAATCTGCATGTGTGTATGTGGCACAGGTGACCATTTATGTAGACAGCCTCTCACCTCAACAGACAGCTTCAACTCCCAGTGCTGAAGAGCCACGAAAATTCCTCCCTCCAAGGATATTGCAGGTTATAGCGGGAACCATGAACATGTCTCCCAACCCCTGCCAATGTCCTCCCCAAACACCATCCTACCCACCACCCAAGTGAAGGCTTTCATTCAGGGACAACTGCATTCTACATGTTCTGTTTTTCCTCCAGAATGGACATCCCAGAGTTCCTGACATCAACTCAATTGGTGTGGAATTTGCATGACCCCGCCCACTGCCTCTCCCTTAACCCTTTCCAACCCTTTCCCTTAACCCTTTCCTATGGCACACAGCAAACAGAGGAAGGGATCAGCAACTGAACCGACTGGAGGGGGTTGGGGGGGGGAATGCCCCACCTACATGGGAGTTGTAGTCCACCTTGCATCCAGAGCACTCTGAACCCACTCAATAATGGATCTGGACCAAACTTGGAACACAGACCCAACATAGCCAACCATGAATACAGGTGGGGGTCTGGGGGTGATTGTCCTTTAATATTTCAAGTTGTAGTTCACCCTTATCCAGAGAGCACTGAACCCAGGATACGACAGATCTGGACCAAACTTGGCACACAGACCCAACATGGCCAACTGTGAATACTGGCAGGGTTTCGGGATGATTGCCCTGGGAATCTGGGAATTGTAGTTCACCCACATCCTTATGCAATTTCCAATGGGCACATTCATACAGAACAAAAGCAAAGACTAGTTTTATTCTACCAAGTAGCGTTACACATTACCAAATGAATATTACCAAACTTCAAAAAACAACAATGCCTTTCTCAAATAACCCAGGTTCCCAAGCTAAGTAAATAATAAAGGCACACTTCAACTGAGAGCCATAGTGGAGTGGGTGGAAGTGGATGGATGTTTGTGGAGAGATCCTTTCTTCTTCTGGTGAAGAGAGGGTCCTTCTGCCTCACTACCTTTGTAACTGAGGAATGGCAGTGAAGCTGGCATTGCTTAAAAGCAGGCTTGGGCAAACTTGGGCCCTCCAGGTGTTTTGCACTCCAACTCCCATAATTCTTAACAGCCGGTAGTTCACCTACAATCAAAGAGCTTTCTGAACTCCACCACAAGGGAACTGGACCAAACTTGGCACACCAACCTCTCACAACCAACAGAAAATACTGGAAGGGTTTGGTGGGCATTTAGCTTGAGTTTTGGAGTTGTAGTTCACCTACATCTAGCGAGCACTGTGGACTCAAACAATGATGGATCTGGACCAAACTTGGCACGGATACTTAATATGCCCAAATGTGAATACTGGTGAAGTTTGGGGAAAATAGCCCTTGACATTTGGGAGTTAGATCAGTGTTTCTCAGCCTTCCTAAAGCCGCAAACCCTTAATACATTTTCTCATGTTGTGCTGATGCCCCACCATAACATTATTTTCATTGCTACTTCAGAACTGTAATTTTGGTATTGTTATGAACTGTCATGTAAATATCTGACAGGCAGTATGTATTTTCATTCACTGGACCAAATTTGGCACAATTACCCAATACGCCCAAATGTGAACACTGGGAAAATAGACCTTGACATTTGGGTGTTGTAATTGTTGGGATTTATAGTTCACCTACAATCAAAGAGCTTTTGGAACTCCACTATCGAGGGAATTGAACCAAACCTGGCACACAGAACTCCAATGACCAACAGAAAATACTGGAAGTATTCGGTGGGCATTGACTTTGAGTTTTGGAGCTGTAGTTCACCTACATCTAGAGAGCACTGTGGACTCAAACAATGATGGATCTGGACCAAACTTGGCACAGATACTCATTATGCACAAATGTGAACACTGGTGGAGTTTGGAGAAAGTAGACCTTGACATTTGGGAGTTGTAGTTGCTGGGCTTTATAGTTCACCTACAATCAAAGAGCATTCTGAACTCCACCAACGACAGAATTGAACCAAACTTTGTCCACAGAACTCCCACAACTAACGGAAAATACTGAAAAGGTTTGGTGGACATTGACCTTGAGTTTTGGAGTTGTAGTTCACCTACATCTAGAGACCACTGCGGACTCAAACAATGACAGACCTGGACCAAACTTGGCACGGACACCCAATATACCCAAATGTGAACACTGGTAGAGTTTGGGGAAAACACCCCTTGACCTTTGGGAGTTGTAGTTGCTGGGATTTATAACTCACCTACAATCAAAGAGCATTCTGAACGCGGTAGGCTGCTAGGAATTGTGGGAGTTGAGTAGTAGATTTGGAGGGCTCAAGTTTGCCCAGGCCTGCTCAAGAGACGGAAACGAGGGAGATGAAGCTTGGGGAAGGTGAAGGCGCGGACTGTCGGGAGTCCCGCCTTCCCCTTGTGCAGCCCCTCCCCTCTCCCTCCCTCCCTCCCTCCCTCCCTGCCTCCCTCCCTGCCTCCCTCCCTGCCTGCCACGCCCACGCCCCGCAGGGTCACGCGGAGGCCCCATAAAAGCGCGCGGAGGCGGCCCGGCACCCGTGGAGCTCGACGCCCAGCCTGTGCTAAGGGTCGCCTTTGCTGGAGCGAAGGAGCAGGAACAGGAGGAGAAGCCAGCCAGGGAAGGAGAAGAAGGAGAAGGAGAAGATGCTGTTTTGGCATACGCAGCCGGAGCATTACAACCAGCACTCCACGGGCAGCTACTTGCGGTGAGTGGAGGGACCCCTCAAAACGCCACGGAGTTGTGCTTTGACAAGGTCTTCATCCTGCACCATCCGTGCTCTCTTGGAGGTCCCCTCCGCTCAGCTGAAGCCAACCCCACATTATCTGCTTTGAACTGGGCTCGGACAACCCAGTTCAAAGGAGAGATTGTGGGTTAGTCTGCCTTGATATTCGGGTTATATAGAAGAACCCAGATCAGTGCTTCTCAGCCTTCCTAATGATGCGACCCTTTAACACAGTTCTTCATGTTGTGGTGACCCCCCAACCATAAAATTATTGTTTAAGTTGAATTTGTATGTAAGTTGGAACAGGTACATTTTGTGAGTGCAACTCCAGTCTCTCTCCCCCCCCCCCCCCGGCTAGCATAGGGAAGGGTTAACATCTCTATGATGTTTGTTTTGTTTTCTTATATTGATTGGTTATGTTATTGTTTACCTTCACTCTATGTGGTTTATTGTACTGTGTTTTACTGTATTAGTTATGTTGTGAGCTGCCCTGAGTCCCATTGGGAGATGGGGCGGGATATAAATAAAGATGCTGATGCTGATGGTGATTGTATTGTCGAAGGCTTCCATGGCCGGAATCACTGGGTTGTTGTGAGTTTTCCGGGCTGTATGATCATGTTCCAGAAGCATTCTCTCCTGACGTTTTGCCTGCAATAATCAGGGACATCTAATCACTTGCCAACAAAAGATTCCCCCAGGCAATAAGAAGTCAGACCTTGAAAATGCTAGGCCATTCAGTGCTAATCAAGGTGGTCAGTTGAAGCATTTACACCTAGCTCCAACAGACAAGAGTTCTTTCTCCCACCCTGGACTTTCCACAGATATATAAACCCAATTTTCCTAGTTTCCAACAGACCTCACAATCTCTGAGAATGTCTGCCACAAATGTGGGTGAAACATCAGGAGAGAATGCTTCTGGAACATGGTCATACAGCTCAGAAAACTCACAGCAACCCATTATTATTGTTTGTGCCCCTGTTCAGAAGATTGAACTTCACTTCCTCTCCCCAGGATAATTGGATTTTGAAAAAATTGACTTGTTGTGGAAACAAGGATAGGTGATAAAACTTCAGTGGAGGCACCTTTTCCCGTGATAACACTTTCAGGAGTGAATTTCCCATCTGAGGGTTGGGTTTCTCTCACTTCCTGTTGTCTCACCCCTGTTCTTAACTACAAACCACATGTTGCAACTTGAGGATTGCCTGTATATCTGTCCCAATGTTGAATGTCCATGAATGCACATGTTCCTTGGAAGAAACGTTTCAAGTAGCGGGGATGTGCTGGTTTTGTGGCACTCTTGCACTGGTGGATCGGACTCCCACTGAAGCATGTTTGAGCAATTGAAAAATCCTGCTTTTGAACAAGTGTTTTGTGTTCACATCTGGTTCATTCTCGTATGTCTTCTTTCTTGAGTAGTAGATATCAGAAACTATTCGGAGTTCTGAATAGTAGATGTCAATGGTGGTAATATTTATTTACCACGCTGCTTTTTTGTATTGATCAAGACCCAAAGCAATAGATAAAATGTGTAAAGCAACTGAAAGTTGGTGGTTTTGATTTCATCATAATAAAGTACAGGTGAATTTTGAAGGAAATGCAGAATCTCGCCTCCAAAGGTAAAGAGAACTCTCCTCACCTCAGGATTTTTTTTTTGAACGAGTATGAGCTGGGATATGGATTGTAGGTTTGAATATGTGAAAATTACAAGTCATATAAAAGTCTGGCAAATGCAGAGTGAACTTCAGATGGCTTAATGCAGGGGTCCTCAAACTTTTTAAACAGAGGGCCAGGTCACAGTCCCTCAGACTGTTGGAGGGCCGGATTATAATTTGAAAAAAACATGGATGAAATCCTATGCACACTGCACATATCTTATTTGTAGTGCAAAAAAACCTTAAAAACAATACAATAATTAAAATGAAGAACAATTTTAACAAATATAAACTTACTAATATTTCAATTGGAAGTGTGGGCCTGTTTTTGGCTGATAAAATAGGATTGTTGTTTGTTGTTGTTGTTGTTGTGTGCTTTCAAGTCATTTCGGACTTAGGTTGACCCTGAGCAAGGGCTGGGTAAATGACCTTGGAGGGCCGTATCTGGCCCCTGGGCTGTAGTTTGAAGACCCCTGGCTTAATGGATATTTATTGGACATTTATGCTTTCCTTTTGAGAATACTTAGTTGTGCTTTTTTTGTGTCAGGAGCGATTTGATAAACTTCAAATTGCTTCTGGTTTGAGAGAATTGGCCGTCTGCAAGGACATTGCTCAGGGGATGCTCAGATCTTTTACCATCCTGTGGGAGGCTTCATTCATGCCCCTGCATGGGAAGCTGGATCTGACAGAAGGGAGCTCACCCCACTCCCCATTGTGCGACCATGGGCTCAGTGGTTGTGCAGATTTTAATCCACTCAGGCTGGATCTAAATTGCCCTGTATTGGAGAATCTGATCCCAGATTATCTGCTTATCCCAGATTATCTGGCTGTGTAGACTCATATAATCCAGTTCGAAGCTGATAATCTGGGATCAGATCCTGGGCTATAGGGCAGTGTAGATTCAGGTGATTGAGGATGGGGAGGCATTTAGTGTGGGGATTTGCACTACATGTGTACCTGTAAATTTATGGCATTTAAAAGTATATGAGCATGCAGCTCTTAGATTGATGTATTCGTCTCTTGCATGACAAGGCATATATGGCTGGGTATGCACCTTCCAATTCAGAGGACTACGTTAGGTATACTATCTGATGTGGGCTGTCCTGTGACACAAGACAGCTTCTTTTAGGCAAGCTTCGGTGAACTTCAGATCTCTTCATGGTAGTAGATGAATTGGGGTGGGTGAAATGAGGGGAAACAAGGTTTGATATGGTGTTGAAATCATGAACTCTGCATTCAGTCTGAAAATGGAATGGAGCCCAAGTTGTAGAGTTGGGTGCTGTGTAAGCTGTCATGCATGTTTATATCTGGGGCTGTTTTGGGGGAAATGATTTGTATCCCACTCTGAATTTGTTTGCGTCGATTTAGATACTTAAGAGATTTGAAATAGTCACTTATATCTTTGTGCACATTAATTTGGTCCTAATAAAGTTATTGCCTGACTCTGATTTTGTAATTTTTGTTATAAATTAGCATAACTTTTTTTCTTATTTATTGTTTCGGTTGTTGTTGTGTGCCTTCAAGTTGTTTCTGACTTCTGGAGACCCCAAGGCAAACCTATCTCAGAGGTTTCTTGATAAGCTTTGAGAGAATTTGCCTTTGCCTTGCCCTGTGGCTGAGAGGGTGTGACTTGCCCAAGGTTAATCAGTGGATTGCTACAAATCCTAGCCCATCACTCAAGGCACTGTACATACTGGCTCTCCTGATGCCTTCAAAGCGCCACATGATTTTGTACTTGGTGCCACAGACTAATAGCTGCCCCAGACATTTTGGAATAACTCTCTTTTAGTATCTTTGTTATTTATTCAAATATTTTTCTAGATTCAGAGCCCATTTTATAAGATGTATAACTCCTCAGATCAGCTTATTTTTGAAAAAGTCTGGCAAGATGTGAAGACCCTTTGCGTAAATGTTAAGTATCTGCGAAGCAATAGTAGACAATCTTAAAAGTTAGCACCAGTTATCTAAGGAAATATGTAACCTCCCCCTTCTGTTACAGTGAAGACTAGGTCCTTTTATCCACTTGATTTACTGCGCTGGGTAAATCCAGCTTTTTCCTGACTAATTTCCACACTGGTCACAATTAGGGAAATGTCTTTAAGCAAAAAAGGACAATGGGTAACATAAGAACCAGTGGAAGACCTACATTTCAAATCTTTCCAACAGAAAGCTAAAGACATCCATGTTTAGGAAGATCTTGATTTGATACTGTGTGTGTGTGTGTGTATAAATTTTTAATCTATTTTCTGCCCAATCTCCCTGAAGGTACTCAGGACAGATTCCAATCACAAAAAGGCAAACATTCAATGCCTGAACATAACTAATAGACACATAATAATGAAAACTGAACTCCACAGCATATAAAAACAAATTATAACTTAGCAAATTAGAATAAAATGTAAACAACCTATTGTATCAGACATAAAACATAAAAATAGAAGCATCATTTTCCCAGAGTCAACAGAGTTCCTTGGGTTCCTTGATCACTGCGCAAGATGTCAGTTGACGTAAACAGTGTATATTTAATCTATATACTTCTTTATTTTGTCACACTGTTTCAAAATCCTCAGTTGAACAGAGTGCTTTTCTCCACATAAATCAAAGTGTCACAAAATGGCAAATTTTGACTGTCAGAACTCTTCATTGGTCAATGTGACAGCAAAAGTTGCTTTGGGTCTGATGGGTTAATCTTGAAATGGGAGTGAAGGAGATGGTAGACCTAAGCTGGGTAAGGCACAACTAGGTGGATATGCAAATCCCATGTTGCAGGTGGCACGGCTGAGTAGGTTGGCAATGATTGACTGGGTTTATTATTTTTAAAATATACAACCCAGCAATTAGATGGATATTTCACAAGTTCCTTTAGAGGCGCAAAACAGAAGTAGAAACAAACTTGGCAAAATTAGAAGCTTTAGAAGGTGTGTTTGTTAAAAAATCAGCCGTAGGCAAATTGAACATTTCTTGGTAGCTGGAGGACATTCAGCTCAGGTAGAATCTGAGATTTGAATTGCAACTAGTAGAGTCTAATCCAATTAAGGCTTGTATTTATGAATTGAATTTATATCAAGTTGGAACAAGTTAGGACCTGCAAGGATTAGAAGCAGCCATCTTATCCCCTTGGGCTGGCGCAGAGAGCCAAATTATTGAATTCATCTTATGACATGCTAATGCAGATCTGAATGTGTCCAGACCGCAGTGCCACACCATTTTTTTCCTGGCAAATTAGAGAGTAGTGGGAGTAAAACTTGGGTATTCACATAACGGCTAGTGAAGTACAGTCTTAGGGCGGAAGAGCCCTGCCATGGCTCTTGCCATCTTGGGACCTCCCTG